CATAAGCACTAGCTACTTTACTCCGCCGTTTCCAACTACTATAAATATGAAAACAGCAAAATATATATGTATTGCATATTGTCGACAGAGACAGCACTTTAAAAGTACTAGGCCCAAGAATAAGACATTTTGCTCTCCACTTATCCTCTTTTGGCCCCATCTACTTAACTTTATCTGGTGTACATATGTCTTTCACTATTGGCAACGCTAGTAGACAGGCATAATGGAAACCAGCTGCCCTTCTTTCACGGCGTTTGCTAGTTAAACACTTGCATTCCAGATTCCACTTCACGAGCACAATAGCTAACGGACGACAGAGAGGCCCCTGTCATAATGACTGGCTGGACCACCGGAAAATTTCTACCACCACTTTTCTTATCTTGGCCGTTCGTGTGTTATTTATCTTTTAGCTGGCTACAAATCCTACCACGCGTTATGCGTAATGGCAGGCGAACGACCAGCTCCCAATAGCTTTGTTACTATCCTACTCCTGATTCACCTTATCCCTCTGCTTTGGGTGCTAGAACAGCTCTTGCCAGGAAAACCAAGAAAGGAAGTAGCGGGTGCGGCAGTATAATGTTAGTTAACATTGCCACTTGGATGAACACCGATGGCACTTGCTTCGGAACTTAAACCTGGAGCGAAATAGCTCAAAATTAATCAAAGAGCTGCATAATAGTGTGCATCAACAGCTGGGGCATAACAATCTCTCAGATTCGAGCAAGCTGATTCCCCAGAAGTAGAGTTGGTAAAGCCCCACCAAAGCAGACCCAAATGGATTTCACGCCCCAAAGCAATTTGCTAATTTTTACTAAATTTTCCCATACTCAGTTCTTTGTTATTAGTGACAGGCTCCTCTAACGCAATGAGATTGGCGACTTAGCATCATGGATATGGAAAATCGGCTCTAACAGATAAAACATGCCATGTTTAGCTAAGAAATGTGTGTATTTTACAGGCCAAAATGTGTCAACTGATCCGAAAGGTCTCCTGTGTTATGTAAGGAGACCTGGCTCATGCAGCCTTGCTACCAAATTTAGAACCACTTAGTGGTTTAAAAATTATTAAACTCCATACTCCTAGTGGTTTAGGCGGGTCAGTATCCATTGAAAATGGTACGATGAGACCTTCTAATCGTAGGTTAATTATACGCTCTCCTGAACTCCCATGCGCGCATAATATTACTTACTGGGTTTCTAGTGCTTTCGCGCAAAATTACACCTTATTTGCCTACATTTGCTATGTATGTCTGCAAAGTGTGATTTTTGGCCCCCTTGATGTCCCTAGTTGCTGAAGGGTACTACGAGCTATATAGAGCATTTCTCGACAGCCTTGCCTATTTAGAACGCATACCTCTTCGCTACTTTTTACATTTTCTTTTTTCTGCTATTTGCTTGCAAAGCAGAAAGCGCTGGCCACCAGTGGCAAGGCAAACGGTGTGAATTCAAGATTACGAAGCTATCTGATTGGCTGCACTGACGTGATTAGAATTGCTTGGAGATGTGTATTTTCTAGTCAGCTTAACCGTAAAATGTGTGTTTGAATGCGCCAATATGACGATTACTATTGGTAACCGTTGGCACAAAAATGAACGATGTCAATAAGTGAGCAGGACGATGAGTTATTATCTGGTGGGTAAAAACCACACAGTATCATTGTTCCTTCTTTGGAAAAGGAAGCAATAAGCTGGTATATCTCTGACAGCTGCGCGTAGCTTATTGGCAGTCAAAATGATTGCAGCACTGGTGGGATCCATTTCGCATGGAGGAGGTTCTGATCGATATTCTGGAAAGCTCTGTGGTCGTATTATGATACATAAAACGGTTGTAGAAGTTATCAGATTACAGTGAAATGTTAAGTAATGAAAGTAATACACCAGCTGTCTAGACACGGATAGATATATCGGTTCACGACGAAGTGAAGTAGCTTTGACGGGGTTTCTCTTCTGCTCTCTACTACTCAGTGAACTCAAAGATTAATTACACTAACAGGTAGAACATTAACCGTCGTTGTGCTCGGAATACATCGTGCTATCCGTAAATGTAAATGTATTTGAGGCTGTAGGGTTAAGTAAGTAAATGGATCGACGACCTGCTCAAGAAGGAACACTTACGGGATTCATCCTATGGTTCCAGTCCCACTTGAACTTGAACTTGAGGTGGTTGCTAATGAAATGGATAAACAATGTGGGAGAAGTAGGTTTGGTAAACAACTTTCATTAAATGATGCAAATGGATGCAACACAGTACCACAGTACTAAGCACTGACATCGAATGGATTGCTAGGATACAGATATCCCTTACGATTTCAACCGTAATTAAAGACGAGCCGTCCTGACATGTAGCTTACATTTATTTCTAACCGCTTGGTAGCTTCCGTAGGTTTTGTTTGATGAAGCCGCCCGGTAAATTCGGCAGCACTTAGAGCGCTTCGTGAGCAGGTATTTACCGGTACGATCTATCAAAGGAGGATGCGCCCGTGTGCTCAGTTCAGTTCAGCTGGGACTGGAACGATAGGAGAATCCCGTGAGTGTTCCATCTTGAGTGGATCGTTGAGCCAAGAATTAATGTAGTGCTCAGTTATCGATGGATCTAAAACGGAACACCCGTATCGCACCCTGGCCAACCAGTTAATGCCCACGTTTCCTGCCCTAGCAGTCCCTGCTGTGGCAGTCATGTGAAATAAGCAAAGGAAGAGAAATCGAAGGTACAGAATAAGGAAGTGCACTTAAATAAGAAAATAATACCAATGCGTGAAGAAAAGTAGAGATAAGAAAATCGAAGTGCAAAGATACGAGTTACACAGGAAAATGGAAAAGGTTTGGTGTTGCCACTCAAGAGCGTCAAGTTGCCGCTCAAACCCCTTAACCGTAGATTCCTTGATAACTCTTTCCGGAAGCATGTTCCAGCGGTCGACAACTCGGCGTGACAGCCGGATTTCCGTCCTAATCCGATCGGACTGCGGTTTGTCCAGCTTCAAGGAATGACCGCGTAGAACAGACAATCCGTATGTTAATGTGACCAGCGTAGCTGACTTCATGTAGAGTAACGTCACCGGGTATTAAATGGACACCTATTGCCAGCCTCAGTAAGAATATACTCAATATGCCAAAACAACTAAACTGAGTAGAGGAAGTGCACACCGCAGTCCACTGGGCCCCACTAGTTTTGCAAAGCAGACCTATGCCCACATGTTGAGTGTAATGATAGCAATGCAAGTCCACAGTCTCTTCAAGCATGTGATGAACGAATGAACGTATTGGCATGTTAAATGGTTATGGGTCACGGGGCAGCACAAGCCTAGTTGAGGGCATTTGGGATGAGTTGATGAGCCAGTTGCCAGGATGTAAACGGAAATTCGGAAGCTTGAGGGCACTACGGCTTTACAAGGTACATAGGTTTCTTAGCACTATAACCAAGAATGTAATTCTCGGAGCCTCTATACATATCAGCACAGACCAGTTGCACTGGTGATACAGTGGCCTACGGAGGTCTCGTAGCACTATCACCAATAAGGTAGGTAATGGAGCCTCAATACATATCAGCACAGACCTGTTGCACTGGGGATAAACTAAAAATAAACTTAAAAATGGAGAGAAATAATTTGAAATTCATCAAAGAGCTGCACAATAGTGTGCATCTACACATGAGGCATAACATGAGGCATAACGACTTGTCAAGGTCACTGCGTGCTTGTCGTGTTTTCATCGCTCGGGATTTTCTTTACTGAAGTCCTTGTTTGATAACATTTTCTTGTACTCTGAAAGTACTTGGAAGTGCCAATATACTCGGAATCCATTGTGTGCCTTCCTTTGTCACGACGCAGTCTCCGTGGAGTCTCCGGTCGACTTACGGCTTCCTACTCCCTGCACGAAACCGCGTGTGGTCACTGTGCTGCTGGAAAAAGTGCATCATCTTATCATATTGAGTTCAAATCAGTGCGTACATTTTACTTGCGGTATTATCCGATTTTGCCCTCGCTGTCTGCATTGTAGGCCTTCGCAAGCCGGTCCTCATCTTTTCGTTGTTCTTACCTTTTCTTCATTGTTGTCAAGATGGTTAGAAAAGTTGTGGGTGTGCCTTCGGGTCTTAAAACAGCTGATTCAGTTTACCTATGCGGCTTAGAGAGATGCTGTATACCTGTAACCGACTTGTCGGGTGGTATGCAATGCGATCTTTGTGGTAGATGGTTCCATGAGGCATGCACCGGTTTGCCTGCTGATCAGTATGCTCTCCTGGCAAGCAATGAGAGGTTCCTTTATAGCTGTGAAGATTGTTTTAAGCTGAAAGCTGAGCGCTTTGTAACCACGAAAGACTGCTTCGATTCGCTCGTTTCCAGACTGACAAATATGGAACGAGTGTTTTCTTTGCTGCTGACAACTTTGGATGGGAAAGTTGAAGGTTTACTAGATCGTCTGACACCATCCGTTGTTCACGCCCAGGTGAAATTAGCGGACAGTAACACGCAAACGGATTCAGTCGACTTAACACCCTATCCAGCAACTGATTGTGAGCTAGTTGGCGCTAAACAGTTGGAAAGAACCTTGCCAGCGAAACGTAAGCCGAGCAAGAAGAAGAAAACTGTAAACTTGCAAAATGCGGTAGTCTCGGAGTGTACAGTGGATCAGGTAAGCACGTCACTTGCAGAGCCTTCAGTACTGAGTCCTTCGGTGTCTCCTCCCAAAGACTCTTCGTACGCAGCTAGTGCATCCAAACAACTAGCCACCCAGTCGCATGATTCTATGACTGTGGCGCGTGGAGTAGGCACCCCCCGCCGCAGTGACTCCTACACTGATAGCAGTGTCATCTTTAGGAATGTCACGGAGTCCACCGCAGCTCTTCCAAAGGAGCGAATGCTTGCTGACCTGCAATGGTTTAAGATTTGCATTTCTAAACTGCTACCGCCTGGGTTTCCTGGCGTAACTGTACGGAAACTCATTAGGCTTGGGTCTGTGCCGGTCGATGCTTCGGGCGTCAAACCCCGTTTACTGAGGGTGGTTCTTTCAACACCGGACGAGCGTAATACGCTTCTGCGTTTCGCTTTTAAACTCAAGGGTTCTGGGGTCAGTATTCAACCTGACCTCCCATTGACTGATAGGTTGAAATTGAAGGCCGCCATAAAGGACCTCAAAGCCCGTCGCGAGGCGGGTGAAACTGGTCTTCGATTGGTGGGTTTTCGGGTGGTGAGCCGGAGGTCTACTTCCGCCCTTTCAGAGCCCGTTCTGGTGGCACCCGATCCCCGGCTCACGATCCCAATTTGCTTAAAGTAGTCCTCAGCAACGTGCGTAGTCTGAGGAACAAGATGTGCGAGATTGGCACTCTTGTAGAAAGTTCCCGGCCAGACGTACTCGCTTTCACTGAGACGTGGCTGTTCTCCGATATCCTGGACAGTGAAATGTGTTTGCCTGGTTATACCCTTCTGCGAGCTGATCGCGCCTCATGCTGTCGCGGAGGTGGAGTTGCTTTGTACGTCAAATCCACCTTGACTATTTCACGAACATATTCTTTCAGTTCCCCTGATGTAACTGCCGAGGCGCTTGCGGTAGATGTTTGCGCTTCTTTCACGCAATTCAAAATTGTGTTAGTATACAGAAGCCCCGAAAGTACGTCAAGCAGGCTCATTGATTTCATTCGTACTCATACGACAAATAGATGTCTTGTTATGGGTGATTTTAATGTTCCTGAGGTGGATTGGCGCAATTTCTGCACTGCGGCGACTGGACGTTTTTCAAATGATCTCCTTGACCTATCCTTACAAGCATCCCTTCATCAGTTTGTACAAAGCCCAACTAGGTTCATGGAAGGCCAAAAGCCTTCCATTTTAGACCTCATCTTTGCGAAATCGCTGGACTTTGTACGAGATGTAGTGTATGCTGCTCCCTTGGGCTCTAGTGATCACGTCTGCCTCTTATTCAAATGCGCCTTAAGTCGGGGACGTGAAGAGTGTATGGTCAGAAGGCCAAATATCTGGCGCGCTGATTTTCAAGCCATCAGGGACAAGGCTGCAAATCAACTCTGTATCATGTCAGAGGATGACACCGTCCAGGTTGCTTGGGACAAGTTCAAATCCTTTCTTTGCGAGATTTCCCTCCCCCACATTCCAATCTCAGCGAGGAATAAAGTAGGGGCAAAGCCCCTTGGTTTGACTCTGAGGCGCGCAGGATGCTCAGTAGGCGATCCAGGTGTTGGAGGACTTACGTATCAGCTCCCTCAGAAAGTACCCATCATCGCTACCGAAGCGTGCGAAATGCATGTAAACAACATCTGCGGGCCGCACGCTTGAGATATGAACTAGCGCTAGCTCGATCTGCATCAACAAACCCGAAACGGTTCTTTGGCTATGTCAAACGGAGATGCAATGCAAATCCGCCTATCCCTGTGCTCTTTGGACCTGACGGCACTGAAGTATCAACCGATCAGGCCAAGGCCTGCTTACTTGCAGAACAGTATGCTAGGTCGTTTGTTCATGAATCTCCATTGCCTAATATCCAATTGCAAGCAAAGATACCCTTAGACTCCTTTCTGATGGACCTTTCCATCTCGGAAGCTCAGGTACTCAAGCTCCTGCGTGACCTAAATCCCACAAAAGCTGCCGGGATAGATGCCCTCCATCCCAAACTTTTGTACGAGCTGGCTGGGTTGCTGTGTAAACCGATTAAGTGTATCTTTGAGAAGTCTCTTCGTAGCTGCTCCCTACCTGCTGACTGGAGAGATGCTATCGTGTGCCCTATTTTCAAAAAGGGTGATAAGCACTTACCTGAAAATTATAGACCGGTTAGCCTAACAAGCGTACTGGTGAAAGTATTAGAGAAGCTTGTAAGAGATGCTCTGGAAAAGCACTTAGCTAAGTTCAGTTTGCTCAACCCGTCTCAACATGGTTTCCGCAGAGGCCACTCCTGTTTGACTAACATGTTGGTAGCCCGAGAGTGCTGGGCTGAGGCTGTGGACCAAGGACAGGCGGCGGATGTTTTGTTCATCGACTTTTCTAAAGCCTTTGACACTGTACCGCATTGCCGTCTTTTGTTTAACCTAGAGTCCTACGGCGTTTCAGGCCAAGTATTGAAGTGGATTTCGGCTTTCCTGGAAGGAAGGCAGATGCGCGTCCGAGTGGGTTCCGGGCTGTCTTTCAGACAAGCCGTTCTGAGTGGTGTTCCTCAAGGGTCGGTTCTCGGACCTCTACTGTTTGCATTGTATGTCAATGACTTCCCTGAGAAGCTTAAGGTACCATCCCTTATGTTTGCGGATGACTTAAAATTTTGGAATACAGTGAGCGGTTCTGTTGGGCCCACGGCTTTACAGACAGCTCTGGACAAGCTTTGGGAGTGGTCAGAATTGTGGCAGCTGCCAGTCAATCTTGCAAAGTGTTCGGTCCTGCGCATAGGATCAAGCACTCCCACAACTTCTTACGTACTTGGCGGAAATGTATTGCGTCAAGTGACTGAACAAACTGACTTGGGTATCTCGTTATCCTCTGACTTCAAATCCAGCGAGAACTGGACAAATGCTACCCGTAAGGGTTTCCGAATGCTGTGGATGATCCGCAGGTCATTCCGCATTATAACAAATGAAATGTACGTTATATTGTTCTCAGCCTTCGTCAGGCCATACTTGGAGTACTGCGTGCAGGCCTGTCCTCCATGCTTGGTACGCGATAAGATGACACTTGAACGAGTTCTGAGGGTTGGTACGAAAATGGTACAAGGATTGAGGCATCTCTCGTATCCCGATAGGCTGCTCAGGTTGCAGATGTTTTCGCTGCACTATATGCGCCTTCGGGGAGACCTGATTCTTACGTACCGTATATTGACCAACAAGATTGGGCCTGATCTAACTGGACTGTTCCAGCCGGCTCAGATGTCATCTCTTCGTGGTCACCCTCTGAAGTTGCATAAGCCTAGATCTGATCACGTTAGAGCTGACGTTCGTTTGTCACGCAGGGTCATCGACTCATGGAACGCACTACCCAGCGAAGTAGTGTTAGCACAAACGGTGAAGGAGTTTGAACATGGACTCGACGCCCTTGGGTTACAGTTTCAGACCTTTCCGTTTAGTTCTTAACTTCTACATCTATTTCCTTGGCTCCTCACATCTATTACTATTATTGTCTTAACCGCCCATTCTCTCCTGTACTACAATTACCATTCATCGTATATCGGTCGAACGGCGCGGCACCTGTCCAAACGCATAAACGAACACTGTCCGCGTTGGCTACGTCGAGGTGGCACTGGAGCCATTAGTAGCCCTATCCTGGCTCATATTGTGGACAGCGGACATCAAGTGGATCCAGAGCGAAACTTTAGAGTAGTATATAGAGTTCCGCCGCACCGGTCAAAGAGTCAACGTCTCCGTATACTCGCAACGGCCGAATCGATTTGTATTCGATCACTCCGACCATCGTTATGCTCGCAGCAGAAGTTAATTAAGGCTGTTCAGCTTCCCTGGCCCGCAAAAGCGGATGATAATGAGATCAATGGCGCAAGGTCAAGAAACCCGTAACTTTTAATTAACCCGTTTTCGATTTTTTACCCTACGTTAATTGTATCAACTATGTCGATCATACCCTTTTTTAACCCTATATATGATTGTATCGGTCTGAAGATGAATCATCGAAAGCAATTGCTCACCAAGTGGTCTCTTTGTTCTATTTTGTTTTTGTTGGTTCCCTTCTCTTAGCCTTTATTCTATTCACGTGGCCGGTGCAGTGGGGACTGCTAGTGCAGGCCGCGTGGGCATTGATTGGTTGACCGTTTTGTGATTCGTGTGTATTGAGTTGGCTCCTCTCGGCTCCAAACCGCTCCCGCGAACTCCATCCTGGTTCAACGACACATTGAAGAAAGAACACACATGGGAATTCTCCTACCGTTCCTGTCCAAATTGAACTTGAACTTAAACTTGAACTCAAGTATGAGCAAGCTCAACCACCAGAAGTAGAGTTGTCAAAGCCCAACCAATGTAGACCAGAACGGATTTCACGCCCAAATGCAATTAGCTAAATTTTACTAAATTTCCCCCATCGCAATGAGGCTGGACCTTACCGTGGTGCGATGGTTTGTGTGCCTCAGCGATCCATTGAGCTACGCTGGGTGGTGCTTTTGCACCTTCAGAGTCACTCATACCAGATTGGTCAATGGTTAGAGGCCAGACAAACTCAGCCTCCTGGTCCTCCAGGTTGGGGGTTGGAATGAGGGTGGCACCTTATTCCTTAAAATGGACTCCTTGTAGCCCAACGCCAAACCCGCTGCCTTGCGGTCAGGTTTTTGAACCAAAGGCTTTGGTTGAGAACCCTAATCGTTCTCCTGTCTAGGCCTGGGCAACCTGACAGTATCCTGCCCACGCAATACTATGAATTTTCCTTCAAACAATTTCTTGATGCTCTGGCCACCGCAGAGGATAATAAACGGTGCCCTATCTGCTGCATCGAGCAGGGTGGATAGGGGTTTGGATGCTACTGCTCAAGCCTTCCCGTCTTCTTATTCCCCCTCTTACGCTTTTTCACTCTTACCGTCCCATTCCAACTTCACTTATATCCCCCCAGTTTTCAACCCCCCGATTCTTGGCCCTCCCCCAACATGCTTTGCTAGGCATTTACCTTCTAATTTCAACTCACACGTGAACGCGGAGCGTCACTCCTCTCCTGTCGACAAGCCCATGTCCAACCAAGCGGTCCAATCCAGTTCATCGGCTTCCATTTGGAGCCCTCGATCCTCCTTCAGATTGGCATGCCTCAATGTACGCACACTGCTACAAATCGGTCAACAGGCAGCACTTGCCCGAACATTGGAGACCCTCTCGATCGATATCTGCTGCTTATCAGAGACTCGCCTGCAAGACTCGAGCACTGTGCTCACTCTGCGATCCCCTTCAGGGGACGCAAGCAGTATTTTCTCCTTGCGCCTATCCGGTGACGATGCAGCTTCGAGCACCGGCCAAGCCGGTGTTGGTATTGCCCTGAGTCCCCGGGCTGAAGCTGCTCTGGTTGATTGGATTCCAATCAGTAGCCGGATGTGTGCGGTCCGATTGGCTGGCTCGTTTAAAGCTTCGAAGTCGCGCGGGACTAATAGATGTCTATTCATCATCGCTGCCTATGCGCCCACAAACTGTAGCGATGATTCGGTAAAGAACGACTTCTACCGCCAACTGACCCAGCTCCTTCGCCACAGAAGAAGCACGGACACTGTTGTGCTGGCGGGGGATATGAACGCACAAGTTGGAAAGTTGTCCACTGATGAACTGCATCTGGGCGGTCAACACGGTGTAGGCTCCCGTAATGATAACGGTGAGCGGTTACTTCATTTGTGTGAAGATGCTCGCTTATTTCTTGCGAGCACTAATTTCCGACACAGCACCCGCCGAAGGGTGACTTGGCGCCCACCAACCTCGAACCAGCCTTGCACGCAGATCGATCACATTGCGATAAGTTACCGCTGGAGAGGCTGCATCCAGAATTGTCGCTCGATTTGGAGCACATGTGTGGACACCGATCATGCACTTGTATGTGCTGACATGCGGATGCGTTTTGGCGGACGCCCACGACGACGCTGTGAGCGTATTGACACCAGCCAACTGACAAAACCAGCTGTTCTGAATGCGTATCGAAGTACGCTAACATGCGAGTTGAGCAAGCGCTCACAGGAGACAATTGATGGTCACTGGTCACATGTTCGCCAGACCTTACTAGCAGCAGGCAAATCCTCATGTGGTATGTCTAATAGACAACATGGACATTGGGTCTCTTCGCAGTCTCTGGAACTTATAGATGCTCGCCGGCAAATCCCGGCTGGAAGCGAGCACAATGAAACTCGCAAAGAGCTCCGGGCAAAACTCCGTGCTAGCCTGAAGAGAGACCGCGAATCTTGGTGGTCTCATCGTGCGTCAGAGATGGAAGTGGCCGCTGCCCTTGGCAACCATCGTAAGTTATTCCGTCTGATACGGGAAACGGGCAGCAGGAGACCTGGTGTTAGTGAAACTATACGTGACGAGAGTGGACAGCCTATCCACAATTTGTCAAAACGTCTGGAGCGTTGGGCTGAGCATTTTGAAAAGCAATTTAATCGGCAAGAATTGTTCGATTCGCCGGTCACTGATCGCCCCGCTCCGTGGGCTGTCCCTTTGGATCCACCCTCTCGCTCAGAAGTCGAACGTGAGATCGGACTGTTGAAGTTGAACAAAGCCGCGGGACCAGATGATCTTCCTCCAGCCCTCTTCAAATTTGGAGGCTCTGCTCTTGTTGATGCTTTGCATGAATTACTAGTGAAACTGTGGGAGCAGGAAACTGTCCCAACCGACTGGAGCCGCTCCGTTATTGTTCCCAT